ATCATACAAGAAAATAGAAAATCAACAGATTTAAAAAGACAATTTCAAAACATAAGAGTTTATAAAATATAGCGGAAGTCTAACATAGTCTCAAAGTCATCTAATACATCAAGAGTGATCGGGACATAACCCGTACATCACATACAAAACTTAAAAGTAAAGACAATAAGAAATAGAAGGTTGGTCCTTGGAACATGAGGACTCACCAATCTTCAACACTACTATAGTGAACTCTAGCCACAAAAATGCAAATTAGGGGCGTTGGACACATTAATGAAAGAATGTAGGCAAGCATATGCGTTAGTACATGGAATGTACCAAGTATAATAGCAATGTATAACAGTATGAAATCATGCTAAAAGGACTTTTCATGACGTGTAATGACCAAGCTAAACTATAAGATCAAAGAGTAGAAAACATAAGTCATAAAACATGGTCAATACAAGCTAACATCTTTAAAACATTTGTGAGTTACTTCTAGAAGTAACCTTAGTTCATTATTGTGGGAGATTTACCATTAACCGACATTTAAGACCATGTGAGCTATTAACATGGAATCCAGTGTCTACCCTACACCGAAAAGGGGTGTCCTACTTGCCAAGGTAAGACCGTGAAATTCTAGGTTATGTGGATACACTAGCTAATGTCTATCTAAGACAATCATCCTATGGGGCACATAAGTATGGGATAAGAAGATCGCTACTAGAAATCCGGCCTCAAGCTACGGGAGAGCTTCCATCTCAATATCCTCTCGGTGCTAAGCATAAATCCCACGGATTAAAAAGGAAAGTGGTCAACTAATATGAAAAATACTAGGGATATAAAATTAATTTGTTGTCTTGATCTTCTCTCAATAATGTCATAATTTCATAAATATTACTCCCTCCGTTTCACAAAGAATGATCTAGTTTGACTTGACACAGAGTTTAAGAAAATAAAGAAGATTTTTGAATCTTGTGGTCCTAAATTAAAGTTATGTCAAATGTACAAAATTGTCCTTGAATCTTGTGGTCCTAAATTAAAGTTATTTAACTACTTTCTTGATACTTGAACAAGGCAAATCTAATTTATTTGTTATGATAAGTAATTAAATAATTTTGGTGCAATAAAGTTAAAATCGTTATTCGTAAAACTAATCACAAATATGATAGATAAAAGAAGAAAAAGAATCACCATGTGTTGTGAAAATTTTGACAACATTGGAGAACTAATATTCTCTCTTATTTTCTAAATAATAATATTGTTAATGTTATATTTTGTTCATCAATAAAATTAACTTTAAGAAATGAGAAAAAGAAAAAGAGAAAAGTAAACGACTTTTATCAAATTCCAATCTAAATTTACTTTAACCAAATTCAACCTAGATTAAATAGAAAAATGGAAAGAATTGGGACAAAAATGGTAAAAGAATGACAAGTCATACAAATAAAGGGAGAGAATATAAAATAAAATATAATGTGAGGGTGATGGGAATCGAACCTTGAACTTCAAGGCAAACACAAAGATTATTGTGTCACCTTTTACCACAACTCCCAGATCACATTTGTCTCTATGGGTGCTCACGGTTAGTATAATATAAATTTATTATAATTTTCTACATCGATACACGAATCTACGCCAAACATTGTGGGTGCATGAGCACCCATAACCATGGGTGTGGGTCCGCCCCTGCTAATACCTATTGAACACCTAAAATGTTCAAAATATGTACCTATTAAACACAAAATGTTGATATAGCATAAAAAATATTTTTCACTTTTCTTTGGCACGTAAAGAAATGTGGAATTGTATTTTATTTTAATTATTTTCAAAAAAACTCACTCTTTTTCTTCTTCCATTGACACTTGGCATTATAAATAACTTTAAACAAATTTTAAAATATTTTTAAAAATAATAATTTTTTAATCCTAAAAAAGAAGCCTCGTCTTCTTCACCTCATTTAGGTTTTCAAAGACAACTGCATCTTGTGTCTATTTTTTTTCTCCAAAAAATCAACTAATTGGATTTGCAAAAAGAAATAAGAAAGAAGATTTTTGAATATTGGAGTAAAATATTTAGCTGACATTCGTCCAGTTCCATTTCCGGCCACCTCCAAACAAACATCACCACTCAAATTAAAATACAAACTCATTTAAGTTATAGAAAATAATATCAGAGAATTCGATAAAATTAATTTGGGTCTTTTGATTTCTCTTTTCGATTTTAAAATGATTATCCGTTAATAAACTCCGTTTCTTCATCACTCTTGTACACGTCTCTCTACATCTTTCTCTCATATATTAGATATGAAAAAAAATTCCTTTTAAAATTTGAATATGTAAGTAATTTGATAAGATGCTGAGTTTTGTGGTTTGAGAAAAGAAATGTTGAAAGGAAGAAGATGAAGAAGAAACGGGGTGGTATAGCGTGGGGTTGGGTAGAATGGGTAGAAAATGTATTTGAAATAATTTTTTTAATTTAAAAATAATTTTTGAGGCCCACTTGCCACATGTCGTCTTTGCATTAATCATTTTGTCATGTCATCGAGAGTGTATCACATACACTTTACATTTTTTTTTGCTGATTATAAAAAATGTCTAATAGGAACAAATTTTGAATAGATAAAAGTGTTCAATAGGTAATAGTCCTAGTTGAGATATCTAAGTAAAATATGCGGACAACTTTGAAGGGCCGTCGATGACTTAAAAAAGTTTTTCCTTTTTAGGTCTTTTGCTCGCCTTAATGAGAGATGCTTTTCTTTCATAATATTTTTTCCTAATTGCATTTAGTTTTTACATTGTAATTTGGGTTAGGCTGTGTGAAAAAAAGTCAAAACATTTTTGAGAGTGATGGAAGAGAAAAAAGTGGATGCAAAGCAGGGGCGTAGCTACACTAGGCTAAGGGTATCCAACCAGACACCCTTCGTTAGAAAATTACATAAATAAGATATTTTGGACACATTTGAAACAATCAAGTTTCTTAGCCCAATAGTTTTAGTTGTTTAGCTGGAGCCGAGTCCTTTGCAACCTACTGTGCGCGGATTCGATTCCCCTGATTGCACTTTTTATTTACATTTTCAAAAGAGCTCCTAATTAATTTCTTTATCACAGTTAATAAATATGTTATTTTTAAAATAATTCAAAAATAATATTATCTATTAAAGTAATCTTAAATTAGAGACCTACAACTTAAAAATTTAAAGGAAAAAATAAAAAATTAGTAGTCAATTGAATTTTTAATCATTTGACTTTTGATTTTTTTTTTTTATTAAAAATTTAAATAAAATTTAAAAGTAATTATTTAATTTAAAGTTAATAAGCAAATTATATATTTTTTTCTATAAAGATATTAAAAGTGAAAAAGCCTCATACATAATTTCTTTATAACTCGTTTTATTGTACTCTCTAATTTTCATATCTCATTGTTAGTTTGTGTTTGTGAAATTTTGAAGCATAAAAGTGATTTCATTGTAAACTGAATTTTCTTTCTCTTTTTTTCTTTGTCTGTTCACTTCCTATTAGATAAACATGAACATTGAAGCTAAATATTATGTAGTGTTTGATTAAAGTTTTTGGTATATTTTTAATTACAAAAAATAATCATTAATGTTACTTAGTTTGATTTACAAAATTTAAGTGCACTCATTCATTAAATTATTTTTATTACCTATGAAATTTTTGGACACCCTTCGTGAAACTTTTAACTATGCCACTGATGCAAAGGATCATACATCTAAATTACCAATGCAAATTTGGCAATACTTTTTGACCTTTTTTTTTTGGTTTTCCACCCGGTGTTCGGTATCCACATTGGAGCCCGACAAAATCCGAATTCGCGTCGAGAAGTCCCACATTGGAGGTAAAACACTCCCTAACAAAGGCGACTCCGTACCCAAGGAGACTCAAACCCAAAACCTCTTGGTTAAGGATGAAGGAGTAGTTATGACTCCATCACAACCCTTGTTGGTAATACTTTTTGACTTTACTCCTTGCTAAACATGTTGTACAAGTGAGTATTTTTTGCAATAAAAAAATAAATTAAAGAGTGTAACTTTATAATAGAACCTATCAAAAATGAAATCGTTATTTATTTTATGGTGATTGTTCTTATTAGATAATCATTCTTTTTGTATATACCACATTTTTTTGTTAGTTTGCTCTTAAAGGCTAAAAGAATGGTATCTCATAATTGAAAACAATTTAATTTTAATAAAATGTTACCATGACACAAATATTTAAAAATATTGTATCAAAGTCAAATGATAGTCACTTAAAATGAAAGAAGGAAATACTTGTTACGTGTTCAAAACAAGATAAGTTGTCACAAAAGAATAAGAAAGAAATAGTGATGGCAGACGTTTCGTTTTTCTGAACTACTACTACTACTACTACTCATGTCTCTGCAAATGACTACTCCTCTACCTTTTCCGCGGTCATCATCTCAGTTACTTTCTCGGTTTTTCACAGTACCTAATTGCTCATCAGTTCGCTTCAATTCCCTTCCTATTGAAATTGAAACTAAAACTAAACCTAGCAGTAGCAGTTCACCGGAGAATGAAGGAATTTCTGGAATTAAAGTGCCCAGACAAAGATATATTGCCGCTTCTAAATCGCAGCTGTTGGATGCTATCACTACCACTATGTTTAACTCACCTGATGAGGCCCATCAATTTCGCCATCTATCATTGTACTTTTGTTTTCCTTTAACTCTTTCTCTTTCCATCTTACATAAATCATATTCACTCAACACATACTGCATTTCTAATGCTCCTACTTTTTAGGTTATTTTTGTATTCACATTGGTGGCAACATTTGAAGGCTTTTGGTGCACCAATATTACCTGAGCACTAAGCTAAACTTAAAATAAAAATAGTGAAAAAGGGGCTTTAGCTGGCTCAAACCCTTGTCTTAGGCGGGCACTAGGACACTCATATGCTCCCCTCATGGGTGCACATTTAATTATATCCTAGTTTTTGTCCGTCTCTTAAGATAGATATACATATGATTTTTTCCAAAGTCGATGGGTGCACGTGCACCCCCATTTATAGGTATGGATCCGCCTCTACTAATTTAGTATTGGGAAAATCTTACTTCACCACTTTATTGATGGAGAGTTGGGGAGCTACCTTTCATGGTAATAGCTTTTTGTTCTCTAATGTATTTGACAAAGTGTAGTATTTTGTATGCATGTGAGAGATGACAAAGTGTAGTATTTTGTATGCATGTGAGAGGTGTTATTCTCTGTTGGATGCCTATCCAGAGAGCTAAGAGCTCCTTTTATAATGGAGAAGAGTTCAAATGCTCATTACTTTTGTAAGTGATAGTTGAGGTAAAATGGAGTCTTATCCCTGAGAAGTAGGGAGTGGCTCTGTTTTTCATGGAGCAGCTGTGGAGCCTTGTACCAAAGAATGGTAAAATAACTCAAGTAGTTCTTCCTCCTTGAATTGGTCTTAACTTAAATAAGTTGGCCCATATGATTTGCGGGAAGTATGGCCTATATGTCTGGTGGAGAATATGATCCACAAAGGTTGTTGCTTACATCACTCTTCAAAAAACCCTAACAGTTTCGTGGGGTATGGTAACTAAAAATTGTTAGCTAATAACAACTTAGAAATAGCCATGTCTAAAGATTACTCTTCCATACTTTTAGGAATAAGTTAAAAGTGCTCTCACGTTTACTGAGGAGAACTTCTCCAAGGTTTCACATTTTTGGAGAGGCTTTTTTGGGCAGTCTTGCCTGTAATTGATTAGGTCGCTAAGCATGGGAGATAATATGATATACTTTGTGGTGGGTTTCAAATCTTATGACATAACAAGGATTGAGTCAAGACGTCAGACTTGGTACGATTGGGTAGAAAGTGGTTGCAAAATGATGACCAGAACTAGTTTCATCCAGAAGACAATAGAGTGGCTGGATTACACTCTTTAAGGAGGCTTCCAAAGCGCTGGGGAATTCCGTTAGCAGGTGGAAGCTTCATGACCATTTCACTGAGTTCTTTTGTTTGAGGAACTTTAACAAATATGGTTGATATATAAGTATCATTAATATGCAAGATCAGAAAAGAGCAGTAATCATCATTCCTAAGAGCAAGAGGGCATTCAATACGGGCTACATCAGAACTCAGAAGCAACATTGACAACAGAAAGTTAAGGCCACCTCGATGATCAACATCGCATTTGGCATATCATTTTTGTTAGATTCTAGCTCTTATTTCTTACATTCTTGTTCTAGTTGTAAGGATTTTGTTTTGATTTTGATTATTGCATAAGATAACCCTAGGTAAACAACCTAGTGGCCTTTAATTAAATTAGAAAGAAAAAAGCCTATATGATGTCCCTGTTTTCCATTTCTATGAATATGGATAAAAGAATGGATGCTCTGAGAATGACGTTCATGTGGCAAGGCAACAGTGACATAAAAAAGATTCACTTGGTTAGTGGGATGTGCTAACATGTAGTAAGGTAGTAAGAAGGCACGAGGTCTGGGAATAAGGAACCTGAAAATCTCGAATCAAAGTCTAATAATGAAATGACTTTGGAGACTTACATCTAATGATCAATAACTGTGGAGTGATTTAATCAGGATGAAGTAAGGTGTTACATTAGGCTTTGGGCCTAACCCACACCCCAAAAGTTATCTCAAAGGGAGGAGGATGCAAATGACATTCTGCTCTAACATTTGAAGGAGAGAGAAATAGAGAAATGAGACTTTTTCATTCTTCAACATCCCACCTCACGCCCAGGCTAGACATCTGAGTCGTGGGCAAATTTTAGTTTAGGAGCCTAACATCTCGTGGGATAAGTCTTGCTCTAATACCATGTAAAATTAGGTTTTGGGCCTAACTCACTCTCCAAAAGCTAGTTTGAAGGGAGAAGGATTGTCCACTCCTTATAAGGAAACCATCCATCTTATTAACCACCGATGTGAAACTTTATTCGTTATAAACATATGGTATGGAAAGTAACTGGGCAATTAAACATGTTAAAAAACCCTATGGAAAGCTAGCAAGAAATAGGAATTTAATAGCATGAAAATATTCTTGTAAGATCCAATTGGCTTGGCCAAAGGACACAAAAACAACTCTACTTACAGATCTACAACTTAAACCAACAACAAGATGCAACAGCCGGAGAGGTCTGACCAAATCAAGGATGGAGTTTGGCTTCTGCCAAAACAGGCAATCTTGACTCACGATAATCTCACCTAAAGGGACTACCATTTATGTTCTAGATGTTATTTATGTGAAGAAGAGATAATGACAATCAATCATCTGTTTTTACATTGTAAAATTACTAGTCGATTATAGAGGATGTTCATTACTATGAAAGGACTGATTTGGGTAATGCCCGGGGAAGTACTTTAAGTACGGGAAAACTGGAACAAATATGATAGTCTTTTCGGCCAGAAAGAAAGATGGAGAATTGTCCCAACTTGTATTTGGTGGCCAATATGGAGAAAGAGAGAAAACAAAGACGTTTTGAAGACAAGTGTAGTTCTACCCAGAAGATGAAGATTTTTTTTTTTTGAAATTAGTAATGTTGTATTCCTCAGCATTAAGGATATGCTGGTGACCTCCAAAAATTCATACATAGAGGGGCTGGGAAGGCTAATTACAAAGATCCTAACATAGCTACTAGTTGCTCTACCTCCTCTATACATTTCTGTTTACACCAAAAATACAAATATGCAATGCAATTTTCTTTGACTTTCTGTATGGAGTTTGATTTGTTCTCATAGCATCTTCCATTTCTTTCCTTCCATACTGACCACCATATGCAAGCTGGAATAATTCTCCACCACTTTTTTTGGCTTTTACTGCCTCCTCTCCTGATCCAGCAACTCAACAGGTCAGCAGTATGTTCTGGCATCGTCCAGCTGTTACCAGTGAGCCTCAAAAACAGAGACCATAGTTGACCTGTGACTCTACAGTGTAGAAAAAGATGGCTGTTGGTCTCATTTGTCTCATTGCATAGAAAACACCTTGGTACTAGTTGTACACCTTTCCTCTGCAGTACCTCCTGTGTCAGACAAGCCCTCTTAGCTACCAACCATACAAAACATTTGATCTTGGTTGGTGCTTGGCTTGTCCATACATATTTCCATCTAGCCAATCTGAGGCCTTGTTGAGTTACCATTTCCTTCTTATAGAGCTTGTTAACTGTGAATCTTCCATCCTCAGAGTGTACCCACTAGATTGTGTCTGGCCTTGCAGCAAAACCATTAAACTCATTGATTACATGTAACAATTGTGCCACCCTATCTATTTCCCAGTCATTGAAATGTCTCCTGAAAGATATATCCCAACCATTTTCCCAACTCTCAGCTAGAGTGATATCTGGATTGCTACAGAAAGAAAATAAGTCAGGGAAAGATTGCATTAATGCCTCATGTCTTACCCAAACATCTTTCCAGAATTAGTATTTTAGCTCCATTTTCCTATTCTGAGTTTGATGTTTCCTGCTAGTTTGGTCCAGAAGGATCTTATTGTTTTCCATGTTGAAACTCCATATGGTATAGTGACCTCATTGGTACACCATTGGGAGTCCTGGCCATACTTGTGATGTATAACTTCTCTCCAAAGAGCATGTTCTTCTTCCACATATCTCCACAGCCATTTCATCAAGAGACACTCATTATGGATTCGAAGATTCCTAACTCCAAGACCACCTGAGAGCTTAGGTAGCTGCACTGTTTCCCAGTTAACTAGATAGTACCCCTTCCTTTCTTTGTTTCCAAACCAAAGAAGTTTCTTCTATGTTTGTCCAATTTCTCCAGCACCTTAGCAGGTAAGGGAAATAGAGACATGACATAAGTGGGGAGGGAGTCTAGCACTGCATTTATTAGTGTTTGTCGGCCCCCGAGTGACAAGTATTGAGATTTCCATATGGCTAACTTCTTCTCTGACCTCTGGATTATCCCATCCCATATCAGTAGTTCTTTATGATTGCTTCCCAGAGGCATTCCCAAGTAAGTTGTTGGGAATTGCTCAATCTTGCACCCTAGGATGTTAGCCAATCTTTGCATCTGTGCTACTTCCTTGATAGGGAATAAACTGCTTTTCCTCCAGTTAACCCTTAGACCAGAGACAGCTTCCAGGATCACAAGTATCACTCTGATATATCTAATCTGGTCTTCTTTTGCCTCGCAGAAGATTACAGTGTCATCAGCATACAACAATTGGCAAATCTCCATACTCACACCTTGCCCTGCTACTAACTTCAAATCCCCTTATCCATCTGTTTTGAGTAGCTATCCTCAGCATGCTATTCAGCCCCTCCATGACCAGTATGAATAGGAAAGGGGAGAGAGGATCACCCTGTCTCAAGCCCCTTTCAGATGAAAAAAAACCCACCGGTTCTCCATTCACCAGAATGGAGAACCTGACGGTTTTAATACAAAAACCTATCCATTTTAACCATTTATCTCCAAACCCCATCTGTCTTAAGATGTTTAGAAGGAACCCCCAATTTACATGGTCATATGCTTTTTCCAAATCAAGTTTGCACAGGATGCCTGCTTTCTCTCCTCTTACTCTTGTGTCCACACATTCACTGGCTATTAATGCAGCAACCATGATTTGCCTGCCCTTAATAAATGCCATCTGGTGCTTGTCCACCGCTTGTTTACCACCTGTTTGAATAGAAGATGAAGATTTAATGCCGTATCTTGTTTTATTTTTGGTATAAACAGAATACATGGAAGATTTGGATACCAAAGGTGTCAAGAAAGATGTGCTTCTTCAGGTGTTAGCTAATAGAGGGGTGATTTTGATGGCAGAGAACCTTAGGAAGCGAAAGGTTGTCCACATGAGCTGGTGTTTCCTGTTTAAGGAGACTGGTGAGGATGTGAGTCATATTTTATTACATTGCAAATTAGCCACGAGGTTATGGGATTATATGTTTACATGGTTTGGCGTCACTTGGATAATGCCAAGATCAAGGGGTTGATGTTCAGTTAGAAGAGTGGAGCTAGGAGAAGAAGACACAAGGCGTGGAAGGTTACTCCTCTAGCTCTAATATTGGTCATTTGGAAAGAGAGAAATAGGAGAGCTTTTGAATGGCTAGAGATTAGGGGTGGCAATTGGGCGGGTTGGGTTAAATTTGGGCGGGTCATAATGGGTTTCGATAACTATCAGGTCAAGACCCAACCCAACCTAAATTGGCTTGGGTCAAAACGGATTGGGTAATGGGTTATATAATGGGTCAAGATCCAATCCAACCCAATTTTTACTAAACTTAATTGTTTGATTTGTTCTTTTAAACTATTTTAGTACCTAATAAAATTATTTTTTTCTTTATTATGACTATATATAACATATCAATTTGAAAAACAAAGTTCTTTAAAAATATTTTGACAAGATTTTTCATGAGCCAATTTGGGTTACATATCAACCTAATTTTTAATGGGTTGAGCTAATGAATGAGCGGGTCAATAACTAACCCAAACTTAAAACGGGTTGGGGGGGTTGAATGGGTTGAGTTTGATTTTTCCACCTCTACTGGAGATGAGCTTTACTCAATTGAGGAGTGATCTCTGATCCTTATTTTCTTTTGGTGCATCCATGTAGTTCCTGTTTGTATAGAGGATTGGGTCTCTTTTGAAGAGAACCATATTTTGTAGGTCTCTCCTTTTTGGTATATCTCTTGTATACGGCCAAGTTGGCCTTGTTATTATCAATGAAAACCTTACTTGATTAAAAAAAAGTATGTTTCATGAAAGTCAGAATCCTAGTGACTCTCTTCTACAGTTGTGTAAATTGTTTCCTTTTTATTTCTCCTTTAAAAGTTAGAACATTAATTATTACATACTTTTTGGTGTTCAGTTTCTGATTTTTGCTAATAGAATTTCTGTAATTGTAATTGCAGATGCCTGGACCTGATTCTCCATGCTGAACACAAAGTTATCTTAGAGGAAATGCGAGTTGAATATGATCGCTCTCATACCAATGATAGTAGTAATAATACTGCGGTTTCATCTGGCCAAGAAAGAAATTTTACGCCAAATGGAAGGGGCTCTGACATTGTCACAAGTGATGTTGAGAAGGTTGAAAACATGGATAAATATGGCAGGGACATGGAACTGAAGAATCTATGGACTTCCGGTTCTAATCAATTCTCAGGATCTCCGTATGTTTCTTTTCTCAAATTTGTCAACAAAGACTCTCTTGAGGAGTCTAGGTATGTTGCTATCTTCTATAGTATAATTACTGGGAGAATATTGGATAAAAATATTATTGAATTGTGTATTTACATTATTACATTGAGCTTTGTTTATAGATACTACATGAAAATCCTTCTCCAAGTAGGATACTATATACAAATGATATTTCTATCTTATTCTAACACTCCCCTTAAAGCTGGTGCATACAAGTCATATGCACAAAACTTGCTACAGATGTAATTAATATGAGGATTAACAAGGGACTTGGTGAAAATATCTGCAAGCTGATCACTCAACTTCACAAATTTTGTAACAATATCTCCGGAGAGTATTTTTTCTTTGACAAAGTGACAGTCAATCTCAATAGCTTAGTACTCTCATGAAATATCAGATTTGATGTGATATGGAGGGTCACTTGGTTATCACATGCAAGTTCCATTTGACTGGTTTCTCCAAATTGTAGCTCTCTAAGCAACTGCTTAATCTAAACTAGCTCATAAGTTGCTACAACCATTGCTCGATATTCTGTACTAATCGAGTAACCACACTTTGTTTCTTACTCTTCTAGGACACCAAATTACCTCCTACTAAAACACAATATCTGGATGTAGAACATTAATCACAAGGTGATCCTACACAATCAATGTCTATATATCCAAAGATCTGCAAATGACCTCGATCCTCGAAGAGTTGTCCTTTACCTGGAGCTACTTACATATCATAGAATGCAAACAACTACATCCCAATTACTATCACAGGGAGAATCCATAAATTGACTTACAACACTTACAAAAAAGAAATGTCAAGTCTGGTCACTGTGAGATAATTCAACTTACCAACCAACGCCTATATCTTCCTGAATCACTGAGTGGCTCCTCCTGTCCCGGCATGAGTTCAACATTCAGATCCATAGTAGTGTCTATGGATCTACATGCCACCATTCCAGTCTCCTCAAGAATGTCGAAGCATACTTGTGTTGGGGAATAACATTACTTGATCTGGACTGAGCAACCTCAATACCTAGTCTTACTTCAGTCTGTCGAGGTCTTTAGTTTGAAAATGCTAAAAGAAATGTTGCTTTAAATTAATGATACCACCTTGATGATTGTCGGTAATAACGATATCGCCAATATAAACCACCAAATAAATACACAAATTTGGAGCACAATGTTGATAAAAATAAGGTGCATCTTGTTGTTTGCCGAATTACTTTCCTAATTTTGTTTGTCTAAAAGCTTACTCTTATAATGGAAATACAGAAAAAATGAAAGAAGCTGAAAAAACATGAGGAAATTTGATATGGTTTCAGACTTTAGACTGCTTCTAATTTGGGCAACATGATAAGAGACAAGGACAGATCACTGACGATTTTTAAAAAAAATGCCTTAGAGAAATGAGAACTATCTGAACTTAAAAACAGTGCTTGGTTGAGCTGAAGCAAGAGATCTATGATGACAGCAAAAATGATCACGCCTATACATCAAATATCTATTAGAACTCTTGCAGTGTTTAATATTATATGCTTTTGCTTTGTACATGGGCATTCTCATGATAACAATTTGATTTTCTTAACTATATGTGACTTGCCATCTGAAATTTCCTGTAGAACTGCCGTATCCAGTCGCTTTCAACATGCTTTCCTGCAGCTTCTTTCCAACGCTGGATTTGAAGAATTGTCTGCTAGAGATCTGAGGCTGACATCTGCTCTAAATACTGATTATCTTCTTACTTTGCCAATATCTGTTGACTGGAAGAGTGCATCTCAGTCCAGTGCCATATTATTCAGGTTCGTGTAGATAATTTTTCTGAAATAGAAGAGGAAAGAGGAAACTCTTGTTTAAATTAGTTGTTACAGCATACAAAAGGGCTCCTTATATAGGAGCATTTGGCTGTACAAAGTATGAAAATTATTCTTAATTCTTTATCCAATTAATATCTTGACTTTCAAATAATCTACAATAGTATTTTACATAATAGTCTTAATGATTTTCTAGACTTTCTCCTCATGCACACCCCCTCAAGGTGGTGAGCAATTTGGGTTTCACGCTCCAAAATGAAATGAGATGTTAACGGTACCCGACACCTTCCAACTTGCACCAAGCAAACTGATTTAGTGTAGAAACTGCCCACCTCGCCCATGTATCTCAACAAAAACAATAACATACCTAGTGTAGTCCCACAAAGTGGGGTCTGGGGGGGGGGGGGGGGGGGTGAGGGGATAAAAATGATTTTTAAAAAAAATTGAAATACTTCTCAAAAACAATTTTTTTAAAAACTTTTTTTTTTATGGGGGTGGCGCGGCGGCAGGGTTTGCGTGAAAAATGATTTTTTAAAAATAATTTTCAAAAATAATGTTTTCTTAAAAAAAAATTGACGAGAATGGCCTGGGTTGGGGTGGTAGGGGTGACATATAAATGGAAAAATTTGAAAATTTGAAATATATTTGAAATTTAAATTAAGAAAATTTAAAAAGTTTAATTTTATTTTTTTTGAATGGGGAGGGTCAGGAACGGAGTATGGATAAGGTAAGAAAAAAAAATTAAAGAATGAAGTACAGTTTTGAAAAATATTTTCCTTAATTTTGGAAGAGAAGTCATTTTCCTTAAATTTAAGGAAAACAAGTTGATTTGAAAAATATTTTCCAAACATGGAAAAATTGGAAAACATTTTCCAAAAAATATTTTCCTCCATTCCAAACACAGCATAGAAGTAATTTGTTTTTACTCTGCTCTGTACTCCTATTATATTCTGGCTTCTTCTAAAAAGTGACTAGGTAAATGTATATTTATAAAAAAAGTCAATCAACAGACTGTGGTTCACAGCCGTAGGTGTCATCTTTAGATTCTGAAATTCCTCTAAGTCTGGGGTTGAACCACGGGACCCCACATACGGTCCGTGGTTCTACCTACAGTCCGTGGATGATTTCAATTGGTTCCGACACCAGATTCTGGAAAGCTGCACTTTTCTATTATCTCAAGTTCGAGGTGTTACATTATCTCCCCCTTAGAAACATTTGTCCTCGAATGAAGTCTAAACAAGCTGCTCTACCTTGCCCATGTATCTCAGTTCATTAATTTATTTTACGAAAACAAATAGATTTTGAAAGTCTGGTACAAATGTAAATCTATAACAAGCGGCTCTTTATGGCCAAACATTCCCTTTAAACATATCGAAAAAAATATAATATATTCGCGATGTCAATGAATACCTCACCCCCAAAACATAACTCGACACTAATTATGGAGCCTCTATGACACTTTAAAAATAATGAAAATAAAGTTACGGGCTTAACCCGACTATACAAAAGAATGGAATACTCAATGTCGCTCCCAAGATCCAGAATGTGCTCAACAATAGTGGATGTAAATAGGATCCTTCTCATACGTGGACCGCCCTGCTACTGACCAATGCCTGAAACTGACAGAAAAGTCAACATTCAGAGAGGGAACTCAAAAGCAAACTCTGATAACTCTAAAAAAGAAAAAATCAACTCTAGTATCTTGAAGAAAAAGAGCAGAACTAGATTTTTCGATGTTCAGATGGGTTCAACATCCAAATTCTATTACCACGGGAAAAAAGAGAGATCTTTCAGAAACAGTGCTTGAAGAATCAGCAGCAGAAGAAGAGGTATGTGCTGTTGGAAACTCACCTGAAAGAAGTGGTCAGTAAAACATAGAAAATAAAGAGAAGTTTGGCCGGACCAGTTGCATAAGGCCGCTTGTCAGCTGGAGAAGATACCTGTTGTTAAAAGTCTACATCAGATGTACAGGGGCAACTAATGAATCTATAGAGCTCGTGATCCACTATTACCTTATGGTTCTGGGTTAAATGCTCAAACTCTTTCACATGTAATCAGAGCCAACTTTTAGCAAGTCCATTCTTAGACTAGTAAGTCTGTATTCAGAGTTCACGAATGAATCCCGAAGTTGGATTACACTTGTGGGAGGGTTTTGAGATATGAAAGTTCCAAATGGAATATATGAGGATATCTAAACGGGTTTACACTTGTGGGAGGATATCTGTTGAAATTCCTATCTCATTACACTTTCCCTTACTCCTCTTTTTTTGACTTGTTCTCTTTTATGTATTAAATTCATGAATATTTGCATGCAGGCGTGGTTATGCAACTGAGAGGCAGAAGGGTTTGCTAATTGTTGAAAAACTAGAGTACTTGCAGTCAAAGTTTTTACAAGGAGTTTTCTCTCTGATAGTCAAACCTCTGAAGAAAGTTAGTATTTGGTTGACTGAGGTATGTTGGTATTGGTAAATCAAAATTTTCCTTTCTATAGAGATAAACTGAAAAGTTGCTTTCTAAGGCTCCTCAATATTAATTGGGAGGGGAAATTTTGTTGGTTTGGTAGTTTTTCTCGTGATTACATACGAACCTGATTTCTTGGATTTGGTGGCCAATCACAGTTATAGACTTCCATGCATCTCCAAAAGAATTGGAAACATAAACCAAGTTAGGGCATTTTCTTTTAAATGAGCTTCTTCAAATCTGCAAAAAGAAGCTAAACCAAAAAGTCATTAAAAAGATATATCTGTGGTCAAATGATCATCATTTCAAATATTTCACTAAGACACTCGCTTAGATAAACAGGATTATTTTAATTGAGACAGACATGGCAAGATTACTAAAAATCTGAAAGTCATGTGCTAGGGAAGCAGAAACAGTGGCAGAATTAGGCAGTACATGTAAAGGCTGCTGCAACTAATTCTCAAGCTCAATCATTCTGGTTTTTGTTTATTCATGATTACATATATACTTGAAACCATATTGATTTGATTTATGATGAATTGATGATGATCCGACTTGATCATATAGTTCTTTTTGCTAATGCATTTAGTGCTTTGATGTAGATGCGAAAATTTCCATTGATTTTGAAGGTCATTATAATTGTTCTAAGATTTCTATCTATTCTTGAACCAGGTTTTGGAAAGATCTATCACAAAAGACGATGCTCAAATTTGGGCCAGAAAAACCAAGCTTTGGTTGAAATATTTTTCGATTTTTCAGCAAACATCTAGTGACAACCAGCACATATCAAATAGGCCATTTGAAGTTGACACATTATCAGAAAACGACTTTCCCCTTTCGAAAGCTGCACAGAATGCAGTAACTCGTTATGAAGAAAATCTTTCAGCAGCTGGGCCTCGTGGCAGGCTTCTAAAAAAACTGCTGGTGTTGATTGGAGTTCTACCTTCAACACATAAACAGCAAGTTGATGAAATAGATGTTACTGAAACCGAGTCTCATTTAAGGTTTGTCCACTTGAGTATGAAATTTTATCTTGCTGTGTGACTGAGTGTATGTGTTCTAGTAAGACTTGCATACACTCTTATGTGTAAGAAAAAACTCATATTTTAGGAAGTTTTTTTTTTTTTTTGTTGTTCTTGCTACTGCTGCTATTGTTATTTTCTTTGGTTAAAGAATGAGATTTAAATTTCATTGATTTTTGAAATGACTATGTCATCAAAGAGAATCTTCTGTCTAGGCCAATATTTTTGTCGAGGATATCACTTAGCGATATATGGGAACCTGCATCACGCAAACTATGTGGAAATGATTTTTGGAGAATGTTGAGAACTTCTATTTCCATTCTTCTCTCAAAATCAACACTCCAGGTAACTTCAATTACATTGAAGTTCGGTTCTCATAGCATATGACATTAATGCCTTACTATCCTATCTTTGTCCTCATAATTGCTTGAAGCACAATGAATATCATGGGTTGGCACGGTCTTCAATTCAAACTACTTAAAAGATGTTATTCCCTCCGTCCCAATTTATATGAGTTAGTTTGACTTGACACGGAGTTTCAGAAAATAGGAAAGATGTTTGGAACTTTTGGTCTAAAATAAGTCATTGATATTTGTGTGGCTATAAATCATTTCATTAAGGATAAGTATTTTAAAGTTAAATTGTTACTAAATATAAAAATGTGTCATTCATTTGGGACTGACTAAAAAAGAAAGTAAGTCATATAAAATGGGACGAGGGCGTACAATTTATTCTGTTTCCACAAGTCTTCCTTTTTTCTTTTCTTTTGAGAGCGCCTTACCTTTTTATCTTATATATTGTTTATAAGCGCAATTCTTTTATACCACTTATCCAACTGCAATTCATTCTTTCTCTCTCCATTCCCCCTTCTTAAAACTGTACATTTTTTTGCCTTGAGTTACTCCCAAATCCTTTCATCATGAACATTACATTTCTGTTGTCATGGTTAGAATATTACATCTGACTGTAGTGCTTGAAATAATTCATTGCAACTGTTGCATGTCCTATGTACTCTGTGTTATGAATAGCCTGATCTCTAGCAATAGCAATGGAATACTGCACCCTTAAGAGTGCTTATGCCTTTAAAACTGATCTTAGTCGAGACTTTGAGTAAACTGTCAAAGAAAACATTTAAATACATATGTGTTCATCTTTTGCTAGATAACCTTATTCTCAGGCTCTGCATCCTCATATAATGTGATAGTTGCTTCTGATAGGAGCCAGCTTACCAAGAGTTGATTTTGCTATACATCAAGGGAACTTGTGAAGGAGGTGATGCTGATATAGCCGAGTTTCCCTCCTTACAGCTGAAGATATACGAGAGAATCCCCATTCCAGATCTACCCGTAAATCCTTGAACACAGAATATACTTGATCAACTATTAAATCACTTGAAGTTTATGATTGTATTTGTTCTCCGTCCACATTTTGATTTAGTATGTACTTCAACTTATTATGCTTGTTACTCTCTGTAGGTTGTTTTTCCACACAAGAAGTTGTCTTTCCGCATACTAGACTCGGTATGAGCTGAAATTGAACTTTAACATCGTTTCAGTATGGAAAAAATGAATTTTCTACAGTTTGATAATGGATAATTTGACAATGGTGTTCTGCATTAATGACCTGAGATGAAACCTTAAACTATTACATTTTGATATCAAGAAAAACTGGGTGAAAGGAAAGTGCACAAGTTCTCATAAGTTGTACATAGGGCCCTCTAGGAATTAGCTGTTTGTGTGGTGTGGTACAGATATAGATATTAAATTTGGAATTGGCGACAATAATAATTTGTAGCCTGAAAATACGTAAAAGTTAGTATCAATCTTCTTGGATAACCATTGTATGGTAAGCATCAAAATTTTCTGTAAATTTTAGTTGGTTTCTAAATATTGATCTGACATGATTTCTGTTTCCATCTTGTGACATTTTTCTGGGCAAACATTTAAAGAAAGAAGAATGAATAGATATAATCCAACACATATTTGAATTGGATAAATAAATGAAAGACATAAGCAGATTGGAAAAACAATAGTTCCTAATGTAATCAGTAAATCAGATATAAGAAAGGCATATCATACAAAATTTAAGGTGGAGTTCTTAGTAGAAAATTCTCGGCATAAGTTGTATCAGAGTAGCCACTATACCTGCTTACTGAAGTCTTTTTCTTTCTCATGACCGAGGCCATGGAACTTTCTAATTGTTTGATGGTTTAATTTATCCCATGTGTGCATTGCATTATACACACATTCAGGCATGCAAGTCTGTTTTTTTTCATGGGTCAAGCATGTGAAAATATTCTTTGATAGAGGATGGTGATGAGATTTAAAGCCAGAACTTCTGTATACTCCAATACCTTTGTTAAATTGTGTGTCCATCTCATCTAAAAACTTGAAAATGTCATTACTTTTATTTGCTTAATTATGTCTTCAATTTTGGGAATTCTAGAGGTCAAATAGTAGAAGGAAACCTTAAAAGTCTATATCATTTAGATCACAAACTACTTGTGGAATGAATGCAATTGTCATAGCCCTTTCCACCTCAACCTTATTTGTGTTTGACGAAGATATAACTATTTTCCTTTAGTCACTGGACTGAGAATGCTCACTCTTAATACTATTGTTATAATTATTTCATGGAGGTTTATAGTGTTTTGAATGCAGGGTGCTGTTTTTTTGTTTTGTTTTATAATTCGCTGCTTATCCTGAAGAAGTACTTTCACTTTTGTTTGTAGGTACGCCTGGACATTGCCTCGGTTCTTGGACTTCTGGCATACTTCATAAACTACAAGTTCGAAAACATGTTTTCACTGTATGATTGGTCAACTTTTTCGTGATCTCTACACAATTTTCAATCCATGGTGTAGTTGTCAAATAATGCACAATGTCTTGTTAGGACATCATCTTTTCTTTAATATCCTGAACCGACTCAAAATTCTTTTATAAAGAGAGACAAACAATACTTTTAAGGCACTGCTGTCATCCAACTCCTCTTTTCCTCATCTTGGTTCTTAAAATAAGTGTGGTTGGCAAATTTATTGTTCCGAGTTTTACTTTTTTTCGTACATTAGTAAAATCATATCTAACATGCTTATTTGAAGCTTATCTTATTTTTTCAGTATTGTATTCTATTGGTACCTCAGTTTGGTTTTGGTTTAGTGTTAGAATTATAGGTCACTGTGCACATGATTTTGACATTTAAGATTCTCAAACTTGTGGGTCAAATCAAACTTGCATCATCCTCTACTTGTTAGTCATGGCTTCTTTGGTATAATTGTTTTTCTTTGATGCTAAAATCATTGTAAACATAACTAGTCTGATTACTATGTGTGCTTCAATTGAGTAAAGTAACTTGATGATCTGATTACAGATCCGCAATACTTTTAGATGTGGTTGCAGTCACTGCTCTTGTGATATATGTGAGCCGTGTGGTCTTGGGTTACAAGCAAACATGGGATAGATATCAAGTGAGTCCATCACTTCCATTCTCCATTTCTTTTTATGAAGTTCTAAATTTTTTATGCCTACTCATTTTTTTAAAGCTATATTTAGCTTCTGGTCAACAGGACACTTAATGAGAAAACAATAGCAAGTGGCTTTGGTTCTGTTTACTTTCTCCTGGATGCTTCTGAACAACAGCAGGTAACAGAAGCCTCTAACACTTGTATCCGTTTTGTCTACACAAGTGAATGTAATTGGTTTCTTGAGGAAATATATAGGCACCTGATTCTTGCATTCTTCCCTTCTTGCAGTACAAAGAAGCCATTTTGGCATATGCAGTCTTGCTGAAAGAAAACATCCAGGTTTTCCGTGATCTTATCATTACTCCTAGAGCACTATGTTCTCCTTGTTAATTGTTCTACTAGTTTCTTTTCAATGATCTTTGATTTGTCTGTATAAATAAAATCTTTTTATAATTTCTTATTATGCATTCTAAGGTTTTCATTTCTTTATAGCTACCGGGAGACTGCACTTAATGGAAAGTAACAAGCACAAAATTTCTGATAATTTTATTTTTCTCTGTGCTTCATTTTTTCTACTTGCTCTTTTCTTTCCAGATTATTTCACTTCTTAGGATTGATCAATATATAAACCAACCCACACCACCGCGATAGCCTACGCTTCAAAAAGTAGCAGCTGATTCGGTCTTCCTTTTTTAATTTTTTTCATATTTTTCCTCCATTATATTTAAAGCTGTAGTTTATAGCTTTATCAGTCAAAGCCTCACTACCTAGGGGCATCACCTCTTTTGATATCATCCACTCTTTGCTGTTTGCATCGGAAATAGATTTCTAAGAGTATCACTGTTAAATTGCAATAGCAACAGAAAACAAATAGACCCACTTCCACCTGCACCTTCCATTTTGTATTTCCCACTGTTCTCTTCAGTGCGGCGAAAACATAATCTGTTTGTTGTTTTCCTTTTCAATTAATCCAAGTGTGGGATCCTTGACAAATCTCAATGGAGGTGCCTAGGCAAGGAAATTTTGGGAATTGGGGCGCTAGTGAGTTAAGAGAGTTAAGCAGGGACTAATCTCATACTCATGAAACCTTAAAGTCTAATGAAGTCTTCTTCCTACTCTTAGTTGGAGCTTGAATTGGATCTAGAATCCCTGAGGGGGTTGCCTGTCCTAAAGGAATGAAAGAAATTAAGAAGAGCTTCCTAATATGGTGGTTTCAAGTGCTGTGATCGCTTCTTGGATAATGCACATATATTAGTGTTCTCTGTTTTATCGTGATTTTGTTTTTCATTCTTGTGATGTCAATATTTTAAAGCCTAATTGAATTTCTGGATTCCATCACTTCCTTTAAATGGCATAGCCGCTAAGGATTTTTACAGAACACCATTATGTGAAAAATGGAAGCATTGCACTTCAGGTGCACTTTGGTTCGATTGATCTTCTTCTCTTCTAGTTACATGATCATTTAGGTGTACATGAATTACACTATGATAGGAGAACATGGTGATAGGATGAAGTGTCAGGTTATGAATTCGGTTGTCACTTTTAAAAAAATAACACTTTTTCCCTCTGAAGGTTATGAAGAAAGTTAGCAGACAAAAGTTTTGTTTACACTTGAAGAATATGATAAAGCAGTTAGTAGGTACATTGATGCTTCCCACTTATCACAAGTAATCCAAATGGTTGTAGCTCCTTAGCTTTACATGTGAAAGGCCTTGAAGGTGTAGGCACGGGCTTGTAGTCATCACTTAAGCAAAGATTTCCAGTTGGTTACAAACTTCTGTTGAATTTAACCATCTGAGATCTTGTTAAAAATAATTTGAATGCAGGAAAGTTGTGCTAGAAATATCGGAGCCAGATGTGAGAAGTTTATTTATGATCTATTGGAAGAAAAGGTAACTTGGTGATTTATTTATTTTGTAGTTGTATTTTTGGCGGCATAGCCTTGGAGACCCTTATACTTGTTCCGGTTTGTCATCCCGACCCCTCAACTACACAGTTTTATTTGAACACGTACGTGTTCAGAACTCAGAAGTAGTATTTTAAGTCCTTTGGACCATTGACCAAGCTTGTGTGGCATTTGGTTTGCTGAGTTGTATAAAGTGTGCAGTTACACATGCTTAAAAGCCCATGAAAGTAATATTTTGGCGGAAAAAGTATTAAAATCAGAAACAAATAATAATTAAAGAAAAAGAAAAAGAAAAAGAAGAAATTCTGCAAATCCTCCCATCTTCTTCTTCTTTTTCTCCCCACCACCACTAAACAAGCCTTCCACTTCATTTTTCCTATTCATCCTCTCCTAATTCACAAAGAATTAAAAAGATCACAAATAAAGACAATAGGACAAAACAAAGTGACCGTCACACTGTCAACGTGTATAGATATTGAATGGTGGTTGTGTATTAGCCTCGGTGATGAAAACCCATCCGTCGTGTTCCTCCAACTCTGTGTCGGCCTCCATTACCTTCTATTTTACTCCCTCAGATTACATCCCGAACTCTTCTTTCTTTCCTCAAAAACACTATTTTTTCTTATGTTTGTGGGTGTTGACATTCAAGGCGATGTCAAAAAATGGGTCCAAAATTATGAGTTTGTTCATGGTGAATTCAGTTGATTTGAACCAGTTGGCATTGATTGTTCCTGAGAGTGAAGATTATGGAAGAACGGGGTTGAAGAGAATGGCATATGAATCTCTTGAGGAAATGAAGAAGTTATTGGATGTTAACTTGAGTGAATTAGATGCTGAGAATTTGTTGTGTGAACAACTGGAGTATGCTTGTATTGTGTGGACTGTGGATGTCTTTTAACTTGGAATGAGCTTGTTCCTAAGATATTGAACAGATGGGGGAAGAACTAAATGCAGGGGATTTCCTAGAATAAGTTTTAATTTTATTCTTAAAATTTCTTTTCATACTTTGATATTTTTTTAATTTGGCAAGTGACGTGGATCCTATGGGTCATTCATGTCAGCGCAAGTGAGGGGCATTCATTCTCGGACAGATTTTGAACAAGTAGAAGTGTTTGAATGAAACTTTGTGTAGTAAAGGGGGACCAGGATGACAAACTGGAACAAGTACAAGGTCTCCCGTATATATTTTTCCATCTTGACACTGATGCATTTATGTGCAGGTTGAAATGCCTGTAGACAAAGCCGTAAGTACTTTGGTGAGGCTGGGTATTGTAACGCAGGATTGTTTAAATGGGCACACTGAACTGCAGGCAGTCCCTTGCTTCAAGGCACATGAGATTCTTAAAAAACACTGGAATACCTTGCTCGGCTAAGTTCAACGCATACAAAGTTGTACAATTTTAGCTTCTAATTCTCAAAGAGTTCAATGAGAGAAGGTTACAGAAAGTTGCTATTCTGTAAAATTAAGTATATGTTTGGCAGTTTGAATGCAATAAGAGATGGTGTACCTATACTACAATTAGGAAGAATGAATTGGACCCCAAAGAGGCCAATGCCTTTAGAAGAATTGATTTTGGCCTGACAATTATGGTTGGATCTGTCATTTACTCAGTTGGCAAGCAATAAGCCAATACTCGATGTGTATAAATTAAATGTGTGTTGGTATTCATGTAAATTCTTATTTCATGGTCCTTATTTTGAAGAGTGATAGACATACTGCTGAGTTTAAGGTCATATAAACAAAGTTTTTCAAAATTAAGATTTGTAAAATGTTACGAAGGTGAAATAACGTATCAAGAAAGAAAAACTAAATTAGTCGATGGAAAAAAGAAATACTATTAGAAAAGATTGTACTAGATTTAAATTTGTGTTTTATGATATTTACCTGTTGTTGCTACTTGCTATTGGGTTCATGTGATGGATTGCGGGTTATATATGTACCATCGAAACTTAGAATAATTTGGAGCGTAACAGGCATGTGGCTTCCTTCTTAGGTGTGTTTGGCATGAAGGGAAATGTTTTCCAGAAAATTCTCATGTTTGGTTGGTTTGAATTTTTTGGATAATGTTTTCCAAATCAATTTATTTTTCTCAAATTTAAGGAAAATGACTTGCCTTAAAAAGTAAGGAAAATATTTTCCAAAATCTTTTGAACCTCACACCTCAGTTTTCTATACCAACTTAAGTTTCGGGTATTGATTCCCGATGTTAATTTTGAATTCAACTTCTGATTCACGATTCAAGACCCAACTCTTGAGTTCCAGATTGAGTCGGAGTCGAATCTTGAGTTAGGATTAGGTCGATATAAAATCGGGTCCCAAATTAGGTGTTGGGATGGGGTTTTGAGTCAGGTTTTGGATTGAAAGTCGAGGTCGGGTCTTATATTAGGTGTCGAGTTTGGGTTCTAAATTGATCGTCGGGGTCGAATGTCTAAGTCGGATCCCGTCTCGAAAGGTGGGTCCGGATTGCAGTTGAATTTGGGTGTCAGGATCATATTCCAATTCGAATGTTGGGTCTTGGGTCGTGAGTCAGGGTTAGGTCCTTGGTTGGGTCTTGGGATTGTGTTTCGATTCAGATCATGATTAGGGTGTGGTCCCAATTCGAATATCGGGTCCCATGTCGGGAGTAGGGGTAAGGTCGTGGATCGGGTGTTGAATCAATTATCAGGGTTGGTTTTCAGGTCAGAAACTATTGTCCTAAAAAGTATTTTCTACTCTCTAGCCAAAAATAAAAGATATTTTCTAAAAAATTCTTTTTCATTCACCAACCAAACATGAAAAAATAACCAACTTATTTTCCATATAAAACATTTTCCTTCTTACCGAACACACTCTTAATTGGACTTGGTAAAATAAATTAGTAGATTCTTCTTTGAGGCAAAAGTTATAGTCCATTCAAGTTGAAATAAAATATTTTGCCATGCATAGTCTTTTGGTTGTCTCAAATGTTAGAGTAGTGATCAAACATTCCTTCCTTGGCTACCAAAAGTCATATGTATCAATTTGTACATAGAAAAGTGTCAAGTGTTTTTGCTTCATGCTCAAGATATACTCCTCCTCCTTTTCAAGTCTCATTTTACATTAATAGATCTGTCTTAATTTGAGGTAATATATATATATGTCTTTGTTCTTGATCATTTCACCTAATATTTTCATAGTATGGGACAATCCCTCAAGAAATTTGGTCCATCTTCTTTCTCTCTATGTTGCACACCTCATTTCTTTTCATGTCAATTTTTGTAATATTTTTGCTTTTGTTTTTTTGCAGCAAATGGTGAGCAGAGTGATAATATTGGTCCAATAATAGACAATTGCTACATCACTCATTTTAACAACACTAAGAAATGGAGCTTAGCACAATTTTGCCGTGCAGTCTGCCAAACAGTCGAGTAAGTAAAACTACATAAAAAAATGATCTTTAGCGGCAATTAATTAACGGCAATGGCTTAATTGCCACTAACTATGTACTTTTAGCGGGAATTAGCACTCTTTGTATATGTCTTTAAAGCCTTTAGCGACATTGGATCAAATAACAATTAACTAATGTCTGTAAAGGCTTTAACACTCTTTGTTAATGTGTATATTTATTGCCGCTAAAAGGTGTTTTTGTTATAGTGTAATCTTCCATGTTATTAACTTTTAACTTTTTTTGCCTATTTTTTTTTATTAGAAAAGTTTCCTTCTCTTGTTCCATACACTATCATTTCAACATGATTTTTGTTCATGCAAAATGTCTTCAAATGTGTCTGTGCTCCACTTAACTTAGGCCACCTTAAGCTGCTTCAACTTTTGTTTAAACACACACACAAAATTTAAAAAGAATTTCCTAGTAAGTCAGTTGTGCTTTACTATATATACCAATAAATGTTTCATGTTGTGTCCAAAATTATAAGAAGATGTAAGTCCTAATGATATATGTTGTTCTTCTTGCCCACATGTTAATACAAGTGATGCATGATCTAAACTAGTCCTTGATAGATGCTCTACCTCTACAATCACAAAATCAGTGAAATAACTACCGTTAACTTCACATGAGACATAACCTGGAAAACATCTTCATTATCTCCCTCCAAAGCAATCTGATTAGTGACCTCAGTCTCTTTTATGGTCTCCATGGAACGTGTAACAATATCATTCAAAACTTTGTTTGAAAAATACTTTTTTAATGTGTCAGCACATGTCTTGGCTACCCCAGACTCTAGACTTTCGATGGTATCATTTACCTCCTCTATTTGTAATGGGCTTAAATGTCCATTATTTTCTGTTATGTTTTCTCCATTCATAAAACCTTATTCATTCGCTCTTTTTACTTCTTTAAATACTAATCCACTCTATAGTTTGAAATAACGACATATTCTCTCACTTATTTATAATTTCAAATCAGATTTCAAGTCAGATATACCACTCCTTCAAATTTCAAGTCATATACATGTATCTTTGATACCATATATTTTGAAATACAAATTCATAGGGAGATAGACGAGTTAGAGAGGGAGAGCAAGCAAAGTCAACGTTGATACTAGTTACATGTAGAGAAAGTCGGTATATCCAAATACATGCGAATTATCACGCTTGGATCGATACAATGTATCTGAAAGAAATTAAACTTAATTTGACCCACATGTATTCAAGATACATGCATCTGAGCGCACCAAATATACGTATCCGGCGAAGTAAATATGGTACAGAAGATTCATGTCATTAGTGTGAAAAATAAAGATGATTATGGTACAGAAGTTTCATGTCTTCGTTCCAAAATTCTTCCTTTAACTTTCTAGCTTCCTCATCTTTTCTAGTTGAATTTTTCGATCTTAGTTAAAGATCTTGAGTACAGAAGGTCCCCATTATACTTTTCTTCTGCTATTCTCTTCAATTAGAGCCTACAAATTTAATGACCTTACAATTGTCTGTCATAAGCTGTTATAAACCTTATTTATTTTCCGTTTAATCTAATCTCTATCGAAGAATTGAAACAACAAATGTAAAGTAAATTTAAATCTCTTTTATATCCATGTTATATTGTTTGACAGAGATATCAACAAAGAGCTAGGGTGCACACAGTTAAGGGTGCCAGGGATTGCCACACTCGAGCGGCTGCACCAAGTAAGCATGCAAATGACACTTTTGTCTAACAATTGTGGTTATTCTTTTCACATTAACAATATGTTTTTCCATACGTAAACTAAAATCCTTAGGGAGCAAATCAATATTTAGTAACAAAAATAGTTGTTTACTCTTAAAGGACATGATATAATAGATATTTTAATTCAATTTTCAGGAATATGAGATTTGCAGTGGAAAATCATTGAAAAGGGAAGAGTATCACAAAATGCTTGTTGAAATAATTGGTGAAACAAAAATCACAGGGTTGGGAGCCAAAGACGTATTGTTATACTTGTTTGGAGTCCCATTAATTACATTATTCATCAAGCAAAGTGTTATTCCACAAGCCATCCCTAATTACATCTTTATTCCTGGTGTCACTTCAGCAACTGTTTTTCTTCTAGCCAAACTCCATATGATTTGAATATCTTATTATAAAAATGTTATCTCCACTTCTCTACTTGTCTTTTATTCCATCATCATATTTTAATTGTGAAATATTTATGATCATTATATTTGTGTGTATACTTGCTATATATATATGATCATTTATGGTTTCTAAGCAACTAACATGAGCCTACTACTATCCTATCCCAAATTTCAACAATTAACATGCATTCACATTCTCGAGCTCAATCTAAACGACGGGAAGCCATAGCCTACCTCAAAGTAGACCACACACGCTCTAAAATCATAATTCTGGAGCTTTGAACGCTACCATGCTATCAAAAATAGAATCACAACGTCAATACAGACAGTTTGACACCAAAAGCACAACAATTGGAGCCGGACCCAAAATCAAGTCAAAAATGAAAATATGGGATTCGCGTCGGGAATTCCAAAATTGACTCTGTCAAAACGCCCAATTGAGTTTTGTGAACTTGTGTCCCAAAATGGGCCACTATTCACGCTTGAAAATCTGGAAATTTAGCTCATGCAACACAACCCAAAGAAAAACTCCATTAGTGGTCAAAGAGAGGTCAAGGGAGCAAGAACTAATCTCTGAAATGAACCTACAATGCCTTCCGGAGGGTTCCCACACAATGCTCCAACAATTTCCAGCAAGAAATAGTAATTCCTCCAGAGAATCGAGCTGAGAAAACTCAAAATCGAACTTAACACAATGGTGAAAAAGACCCCCAAATGGTCTTTAACTAACTGCATGTGCCGCAACAGCGGTCACTAACGCTTCTTAAGCGGCACCGCAAACACGGCTGGCCACCCAGACTGACCATCTCTTAAGTGATCCCCTGGCCGCTAAAGCGGCAAGCGCTTAAGCGAAGCCAAGGCCACTAAAGCGACTGACCCCTCGCTAGCCAGGTCTGCCACAGTGAAGAGCCGAAGACCACTTAAGTGACACCAGGGCTGCGAAAGCGACTGCACCATGAGTCATCAGAAAATATAGCCAAGTCCCACCGGACTCTGCTTAGGTGCTCGGGATTGGTTGGAAACCCCGTGCACGCAAACGAAATATGCTACTGCACCAAATTTAGCATTTTGGACTCAACGAGATCTCGATAAAAGTGAGTCACACACCCAAACTCCATTTTAAGCCAAATTCCACAAGGGGGCTCAGGATCCGCACCAAGGGTCCTTCTAAACCAAACTCGGTG